GGTTGCCATACCTGTTGCTCTTCCTTCATCTCTAATGTTCCTTATTTCCCAGATGCCATTTCTTGTCAGCCCAAAGAACTTCCATTATCAGTTCTTTACAACAGCACATTTGCTGGTGACATCCTCTTAGTTTTCCTTTCTATGAAAACGCTCTTATTTTGTTTTCATTCCTGAAGGATATTTTTGTTGGCACAGAATTCTAAATATACAGTTCTTTTCCCTCTTTCTCCCAGCATTTTACAGATGTTTTCTCACTGTCTCTAGACTCTTTGGTTTCTAATGAGAAATTTGCCGACATTTGAATTGACTCCTTAATGTAATATATCACTTTCTTCTGTCTGCTTTCCAGATTTTTTCCTTTGTCTTTGGTTTGTAGCAATTTGATATTGTTAGTGTTGGATGATTTTCCTTGCGGTTACCTTCACTGGCATTTGCTGAGCTTCTTAACATATATCTGCATTTTGTCATATTTGGAAAGTTTTCAGCCATTCTTTAATTTTTTTTTTCTTTACCAATTTCTTTTTACTTTTCTGGGATTCCAATGACATGAATAGTATACCTTTTAATATTGTTCCATAGGTCACTGAGTTTCTGCTTTTTATTTTTTTTTTTTTTTTCCCACTCTGTGTCACTTGGATTAGGTAATTTGCATTGTACTATCTTCAAGTCCACCAGCTCCTTTTTCTATCATCTCCATTGTACTGGTGAGGCCATGCAGTTAAATTTTTATTTCAGTTACTGTATTTTATTCAGTAACCAGATGTGATGGATAGTAATGAAAGAGAATGAAGTATCTAAAATCACTCAGGTTTTTGGCTTGGGTAATGGAGTGGTTTTTGATACCTGTTCATGAGGAATAGGAAGAATGAAGGGAGGAAATAATGGATTTGAATGTGTGAGTTTAAGGTGTGAGGAGTGCATTTGAGTACAACTGTTTGTAGCTCCCCAGAGCTTGCATCTGTAGGTAAAGGTCAGGGTTAGTGATAAAGTTATAGTAGTTTAAATCAGTGTTTTCTGAAGTGTAGGTAATAGTATGTATCATGACATCAATTTTATGGTTTATAACCAGCATTTAAAAAAAATAGACTGTAATAAAAAGATCATAATGTATTACAAATAACAAAGATTAAATAATACTTAAGAAGGGACCAGCAGATGGCATAATGGGTATATTGCCAGACTCCCACATAGCTGACCGCAGTTCGAGTCCTGGACCAAGTAGTTTAAAACTCATGCCAGGTGCATGTGCGTGCATGCCCAAGATCCCAAGAGGAGAAAGGAGAAGGGACTGTGGCATGGCCGTCACCCTAGGGGGTGATTTCTCATTTCTGTCTGTCTGTCTGTCTGTCTGTCTCTCTCTTTCTGGCAAGTGCACATGCCCTTTAGCCAAAATCTCTCTCTAAAAAAATAATAATACTATTTAACAAAACATGTTTGTGTGTGTTGTGTTTGTGCACATGCATGTATATTAGAGATGTGAATGCATTCTGTACTGTGAATGCATTTCTTACTGTCTATTGTGTTCCAAAAAATTTGAATAAATTAGTTTAAATTGTGATAATGAGATTTCCCAGGCAGAGTATGAATAGTAGACCAGTGCTTGAACCTAGTAATTTCTTTCACTCTTTTTTTTAAGGTTTTTGCCTTAAAAACCTTATGGGAGAGAGAGCAGAGATCCAGAGAGAGGGCAAGTGAGAAATCACCCCCCAGGGGATGGCCACATTGCAATTCCTTCTCCTTTCTCTTCTTGGGGTTTTGGGCACACACACACACACACACACACACACACACAGTATGATTTTAAAGCCACCAGGTCCAGAACTCAAACTGCACTAGGCCATGTGGGAGTCCAGCCCCTTTACTACACCTCCTGCTGGTTCCTGAACCTAGTGGTTTCTAATATCTAACACTCATGTTCTCAGATGAATTTTAGTATCCAGCTCTAAAGTTTGTAATTCCTATTCTCTACTATTGAATTATTTGTAGCAACTTTTTTTTTTTCACTAATCTCTTTTACTGAAAGGGAGACATAAATCCCTTTAGACTGTATTTGAAATTTTACTTCCCACCATCTTCTAGAATACCCCCAGTTAGTAATATATGAGTGTTCTTTAAATGCTTACAGCAGTACTAGCTGCCTAAAACTAACACCCATTTAACTTTAAAAAAAATTTATTTTATTGTATTTATTCATCCATTTGTTTTAATTAGATGAGAGAGAGACACACACAGAGAGAACAAGGGAAAGTGAGAAAGCAAGCCATCAGGTCTGGGACTCGAACCATGGTTGGCCATGTGGGAGTTTCCAGCACCCTAACCACCATGCCACCTGCTGGTCCCCAACATCCATTTAACTTTGTAGGCTGGAGTTTAGGACTAGTGCTCTGGAAGGAAATTTGGATTTCAAGAAAAAAAGGTTGGGAACAGTGTAAATATAATAATTATTTTCTCATGAGTTCTATCTTGATGTTTATTAAACTTACAAGTTCTCTCTTTTTTTCTTTTATTTCTTCTTAGAAAACGATTCCTCCTCATTTGGAGAGGGAATTCTGTACAGCTTGAGCACAGCAGTCATGGCTGTTGCCTCCCCTCTGAGAAACCTGGAGGATGAGGTACTGTGCTCCATTTGCCTTGACTACTTGAAAGACCCAGTGACCATTGACTGTGGTCATGTCTTCTGCTATCACTGCATCATTAAGGTCTGTGAATCTACGAGGAAGACATTATCCTGTTCTCTCTGCAAGACGGCTTTTAAGAAAGAGAACATCCGTCACGTGTGGCAGATGGCCAGCCTGGTGGAGAACATCTGGAAGATGAAGGTAGATGAGGAGAGACAACCCAGAGAGGAAAGACCACCTCAGCAAAGCACAGAGAAACTGTGTGGGCAACATCTGGAGAAGCTCCATTACTACTGCAAGGATGACCGGCAGATGCTATGTGTGCTGTGTCGGGAGTCCCGGGAGCACAGGCACCATTCTGCTGTTCTCTTGGAGAAGGCAGCACAGCCCTATAGGGTAAGAATCCTATCAGACCCAGCTCTCTTCTTGAAGGTATGGCCTGAAGTGCCTTCAGTATAAGATCTAGCTTTCTAAATCACTTTATTGAGATACAATTAACAAGTGAAAGGTTGTACATATTTAGCATATGCAAATCAATGGGTTTGGGGATAAGTGTACACCTATGAAACTATTAAGGTCATATACATATCCATTTCTTCCCAATGTTTCTCCCCACTCCTTTATTATTATTGTTATTTATATTTTGTTGTAAGAACAGTTAACATAAGATCTTTACTTTCAGTGAGTATTAAGTATGCAATATAGCATTATTAGCAATAGCTCTCTCCAGCTTGTTAATATTGCATAACTGAAATTTTGTACTTTTTGACAATCACCACCCATTTCTTGCCCCACCTCAATCCTACTCTACTTTCTTTTTTTTTAATAATTATTTTACTTCAGTTTGTCTGTTTGTTTGTTTGTTTATTTATTTAAATTTGACCAGAGAGGGACAGGGTGAGAGTGAGAGAGAAAGGGAGAAAGTGAAAAAGCAAGCCTCCAGGTCTGAGACTTGAACCATGGTTGACCATGTGGGAGTCTAGTGCCCTCAACTACCACACCACCTACTGGCCCCTCTAGTTTCTGTTTATATGAGTTTGGCTATTGAAGATTCTACACATAAGTGAGATGTGTGTGGCTTATTTCACTTAGCATAATGCCTTTCATCATCCATCCTGTTGCAAATGTCAGGATTTCTTTCCTTTTTTAAGGTTGAATAATATTACATTATATCTATATACCACATTATCTTACCCATTCATCTATTGATGGATATTTAGATTGTTTCCATGTCCTGGCTCTTGTGAATAATACTTCGAGGAACATGGGAATAGAGATATCTCTTTGAGATCTTGATTTCGCTTCCTTTATTAAATATCTAGAACTAGAATTTCTGGATACTCCATACAGTTTTTATAATGATTATACCAGTTTACATCCCCACCAGCAGTGTACCAAGCATTCCTTTTCTCCACATTCTCACTAAGACTTATCACCTTTTTTTTCATAACAGCCATTCAAACAGGTATGAGGTAATAGAAAATTATTGGTGCAGCAATTTAAATTGGATAATAAGAGACCACCAGGGAGTGTGATGGATACATTGCTGGACTCCCACATAGTCGACCATGGTGTGAGTCCTGTACCTGGCAGCTTGAAATGCACGCCAGGCAGGTGTGTGTGCATGGCCAAAGTCTTGAGAGTTGAACGGAAGGCGAAAGATTGCAGCATGACCATACCCTGGATGGGGGTTATTTCTCTCTTTCTTTCTGATTGTCTCTCCAGCGAGCCTATGTGCCCTATAGCAAAAATGGCTCTTACAAAAAAAAAAAAAAATCGCTCTTAAAAAAAAAAAAAAAAACTAGAGGGGGGCCAGCAGATGGCATGGCAGTTAAGGCCTCTGGACTCCCACATGGCTGACTGTGGTTCAAGTGCCAGACCTGGAGGCTTGCTTTCACACTTTCCCTCTCTCTCTCTCTTACTTGCTCTTGCTGTATCCCTCTCTGGTCAAACTAAAGTAAATAAATAAATAAATAAAGTTAAATAAAATCATTATTTAAAATAAATAGATAGATAGATAGATAGATAGATAGATAGATAGATAGATAGGTAGGAGGGACCAGCAAATGGTGAAATGGTTACATTGGTGGACTCCCATGTAGTCACCTGCTATTTGAATTCCAGACATGGTAACTTAAAACTCAGGCCGGGTGTGTGGTGTGGTGTGTGTGCATGCATTCTCAAAATCCCAAGGGGAGAATGGAGGAGAAGGAATTGCAGTGTGGCCATCCCCCCGTTTGGGGGGGGGGGCGGCAATTTCTCACTTTCTGTCTTTCTGTTTCTCTCTGTCTCTCCGGTGAGTGCATGTGCCCTGTAGCAAAATCTGTCTTAAAAAAAATAAATTGGATAATAAGATTTGTTTGTTTTTGTGTTCTTTATAATAGCGAGTCTATCCCATTGCCTTGATTTGGTATCTGAGGAATTCAGATCCAAGTTTCATCAGCAATACAGAATACCAGCACTCCTGATAATCCTTAGTGCATGGCTTTAAATTGTGTGTTCTCCATCACATAATTGTAAATATATTCATGGGTATATTGTATTCAATATAAAATCTTTCATATAAATTTTCTTCCAGAATTTAATTTCAGGGAAAATATTTCCTCTGACGTACTAGCATGTTTACTCCTGTCTGCTAAAGAATAAATGCAATTCACTGTTTTGCTTTTTTCCATGGCCAATAGGAAATTAGTCATTCTCACAATAATCTGGAATTAGTATATATATTTTTCTTCACTTCTTGCATTGATTTTCTATTTTATTAATTTTCATTTGAATTGTCTGTATTTTGGTAGGAAAGGATAATGTAAGTATCATTAAAAACTATACTATAAATCTTAGTAGTTACTATTTTATCTGACTTACAAGAAACTATTGGATTGTCAGAAAAGTCATGATGAATTTTTACGTAGAGAAACAGAAAAGTATTTCATGACTTTTCTGACAACCCAGTGTTGTAAGCGAACACATTACTCACCTGATCTTCATTATCTAGAATAGACACTGTTCTACATGACAACTATTATACCACATGGGGCTAGCACTGTCTGATCTTATCCTGGAATCACTTTGCATCTCCCTTTTCTTACTGAGGGGGGGCCATTTACCTTGATTTTTAGCCTCTCCATGTTTATTTCCATAGGGCAAAATTCTAAACCATCTGAAGATTCTAAAGGGAGACAGGGATAGGATTCAGAATTTTCAGACTACAGGAGAAGATGAGATTCAGGCCCTGCTGGTAAGAGAAGTCTCAAGTAAATGTTCTGTGTAAATGTGTGTGTCAGGGATGGGGTAGGTGTTTATCTGTGTGTCTGCGTGTATGTGTATGGGGAAGAGGGTTGAAGAATGGGGAGGGAGAAGGTAATTGAAAGGATTTCTGTTCTGAACACATCCCCAGGTTATCTCACAAATGTTACAGTGTTTTCTAGCCCCTCAATATAAATCTTTCTCTTTCTGCATTTACTATAGACAAAATTCCAGCACTACAGGCAAAACATTGCATCAGTGTTCGAACAGGGCCATCAGTTCTTGAGAGAAAGGGAGCAGTACTTGCTGGAGTGGCTGGTGAGGCTGGAGCAAGAGCTCACTGATGGAAGGCACAGCCGTGTCACCAAGGGCTCCGAGGAGGTGGTCCGGCTAGGGTCCTTGATTTCTGAGTTGGAGAAGAAGGCTCAGCAGCCAGCACTTGAACTTTTGCAGGTAACAAGCTAACTAAATGGTATCTGAGTCCTCTTGCTCCAAGCTGCCGTATGACCTCTTTATTAGCAAGAGGTTTGGAACAGAAGTCAATAGAGACATTTTATTCTCATTTATTGATTTCTTTAATAATATACTTTACCAACCAATAGTTTTTTTTTTTTGCCTTAGGGCACATGTGCTCACCAGAGAGAGAGACAGAGACAGTGAGAGGGAAAGTGAGAAGTCATCCTCCCCCAACGGGGGCGGGCGAGGATTGTCATGCCACCATCCCTTATCCTCCATTCTCCTTCTGGGATCTTAGCTTGCATGCACACGCACTGAGCATGAGTTTCAAGCTGCCAGATCTGGGACTTGAACCACGGTTGGACACGTGGAAGTACATCAACATTTTCACTACACCATTTTCTAGCCCTCTAACCACTAATTTTTAAGTCCCAAACTGCAGTAGACAATAGTCTGTTCTGTAACATGAACAGACTATTCAATGAAATAGTAAGAGCTATATGTTTATAATGAATATATATATAAATGATATGATAATATAATATGAAATAATATATAACATGTACATTAATAATAGAATATATACTTATACATTACCATTATATACTATATATAATATGTATCCATATATATTATGTTTATATTAGTATGTAATTAACATAATATAATAGAACACCAAATCTTGTGGTCAGACTAGAGGCCACAGGAATTCTGGAAAAGGCTAGGATTTAGTGAGGGAAAGAAGTGTTCATAGAAGGAAAGATTCTTAGTGTTGCCCTTGAAGAAAATGTAAGTGTAAAGATTTAGATAATTAGAAAGGAACAGCTGGACATTCCATTTGGTGGTGGTGGAATTAAATAAATGAATGTGATAATTTGGTGTATATGTAGGCAGGTGGGTTTAGGTGCTGAGGAAGATAGGAATAGGAAGATAGTACAGGGACATGAAGTGAGGGGATACTCTTTCTGGGAGGGTCAGACTAAGTGAGGAAGGAAAGGGATAATGAGATAGGTAAATGGAGCTGTGTAGAGGCCTTCCGTGGCAGGCTGAGATTTCAATCTTGAAAGATTTTTTTTTTTTAAATTTGCCAGAGGGTGCATGTGTTAGCCAGAGAGAGACAAAGAGATAGAGAAAAATCTCCCGTTGGTGGGACATGGTCACACTGCAATCCCATCTCCATTTCTGCATCCTTTTGGGATTTTGGGCATGCACGCACATGCCTCTCTGCAACCCCACCTCATGTGGTTTTCAACATAGGGCCCAGGATTTAACTGCAGAATTGGCAGTTGGGATCCAGCTCCTTTTATCAGTAGGCTATAAAGATGGCCCAACAATCACCTTTACTTAGAAATTTTTAAAAGTTTTGCTATTTTTAATATTTTTTAATTATTTAAAGTTTTGCATGTGTATTCACCAGACATGGAGAGAAGGAAAGTAAGAAATTATCCCTACTGGCGAATGACCATGCTGCAGTCCCTTCTCCAGTCCCCTCTCAGGATTTTGGGCATACACACATATCTCCAGCATGATTTTCAAGCCACTGGGTCTGGGACTTGAACCTCAAATTTGGCCATGTAGGAGCTAGCCACCTTTATCTTCACTCTGTCTGCTCTCCCACAATCAACTTAATAGGTTGTTATTTATCTAGGAATAAAGGAAGGTTTCTAGGAGGGGTAGTCTAGACTGCAAATAGAAGAAAAGGGGCAAAAGCTATGTCCTTACCAACTGAAATTATGCTGGAAAGCAGAACAGGTAGGCATGTTGGAGTAATTCTCTGTATAGTCCTGGTGTGTTCCCATTCCCAGTGAGCCCACAGTAGGGAATGGCTCCAGGGAACCTCATTTGCATGCTAATATTGTGCTCTTTTGTTTCAGGACCCAAGTGACATAATAAGCAGGTAAGGACTACCTGCTTTTTTTTTTTTCCCCTTAATTGGCTGCTTATGGTAACTTGTTTTCTCTTTCTCTCAATTTACTAACATTGGCAAGATCTGAAAAGGTTATTGTTTAAAGGGAATAGAGGTTTTCTAATAGAGTAAACTGAAAGGTATTAGGTATTCATGGAATGAAGGAGAGAGTTCTAGAAAAATTGTCATGGAATTTATGTTAGGGTGGTAATGGGCTGAAAGAATTGAAATGGGAGATTATAGAAGTGTATTAGAGAACACTTATCCACATTTGTTTCTTTTTTAAAAAAAATACTTAATTTTATTCATTATAATTATAATTTTCTAATTTGACCAGAGAGAGAAGGAAAGTGGGAAAACAAGCTGCCAGGTCTGGGATTTGAACCATGGTCAGCCATGTGGCAGTCCAGTGCCCCAACCATCATGCCACTTGCCGGCCCCTCTTTTTTTTAAAGAGAGATTTTTGCTATAGGGCGCCTATGCTCTCCAGAGAGGGATAGAAAGACAGAAAGTGAGAAACCACTCCTCAGGGGGAATGGTCATACCGAAATCCCTTCTCCTCCATTCTCTCGGGATTCCGTGCACACACGCACAGGCACCAGATGTGAGTCTTAAGCCACTGAATCCAGCATTCAAATTGTGGTTGACTACATGGAAGTACAACATATAACTATTATTCTGTTTGCTGGTCCCATCCACCTTTGTCTCTGAAACCCAGTTTCCTTTCATTTTTCCCATTCCTACATGGTTCCCACATGATACTTTTGGACATGGCTTTCCCCCATATGCTATAAAGCCCATTTCATTATCAGATTGTCCTCCATGCTTGATAGTGATAGTTGTTGTGCTCCTTACTGTCCATAGGAAGAGGACACATGTATGGGTCATAGGAATACGGATCTCTCTGGCAGTGGGTCTGAGGAAATACGTGTTCACATTACACTTAGCATTAACAGTTTTCAGAGTCATACGTATATGCTGCACAGAAGCTTTGAAAAGAGTAGAAATCAGCATTTTGATAATATACAACTCCAGAGACATTTGGGACTGTTGGCATATACTGTGCATTTAATATGGGCCAAATACGGGGCAGAAAGCAGAGTAATTAGATAGACTGCTGGATCCTGATGGGATAATAGATAGCCATATTAGCAATGAGTAATTATGTAAGCTGTGAGGGTGATATGGAATGGGGAATGGGTAGTACTTCCTGTTTTGAAGTATTTTGTCTGAAATTAGTAAAGTTATTCCAGTTTTCTTTTGAGGAGAGTTTGTGTGGTATTTATTTTTTTCAATCTTTCTGTTTTTGTTTTTTTTGAACTTTGCTATAGGGCATATGCGCTCAACAGAGGGGAAGAGAGAGAGAGAAAGTGAGAAACTTTTTTTCAATCTTCCTGTTTTTGTTTTTTTGAACTTTACTTTAGGGCATATGCGCTCAACAGAGAGAGAGAAGAGAGAGAGAGAAAGTGAGAAAGCATCCTCCCGAGAGGGGGTGGCCACACTACAATCCTTTCTCCTCCATTTCTCCTTTCACGATTTGGGCACACATGTGCATGTGTCTGGCAGCTACACACATTTAAAAAAATTATTACTATTATTTTTCTAAACAATTACTTAATTTTTATTTACCATTATTGTTTTTTAACTTGCTATGGGGCATGCATGCTCATCAGAGAGAGAGACGGAGGTAGAGAGAAAGTGAGAAAGCAAGCCACCAGGTCCAGGACTCAAACTGTGGTGGTCGGCCATGTGGGAGTCCAGAGCCCCAACCACCGTGCCTCTCGCTGGTCCCTACACATTTTTTTTTTTAAAGTTTATTTATTTCTTCCGAGTGAGAGACAGAGAAAGACAGACAGACTGGCACCTTCAACAGGGTCTTCATTCCACCATCTACTCTCCATCTCAGCCAGCCAGATCATTTGCATCCAGTATGCTTAGAGCTTTCCGTGTGGGTTTAGTTGCACGACTGCTGCATCATCTTCTGGCCTGTTTTTACTTTATGTTTTTTAACTTTTTTCCCCCTTATTCATGATAGAGCACATGCACGCACATGTGCGAGAGAGGGGAGAGAGGAGCATGTGCCACAGTCTAATCCTACTGCCATCTCCTTCCTGCAGTCCCTCAGTTCGTCAGATCTTAGACATTCAAGCACATGCCTAGTGTGCTTCAGGCAGACCCAGCTGGGATTTGAACTGTAGTCACCACATGATGTCCAGCTCTGCGATTTGGCATGCTGTTGTCTATGCCAGCATGGCTGGGCCTCTGTTTTGTTTTGTTTTGTTTTGTTTCGTTTTGTCTAAAGTGTTGCCAAGGGGCACATACATTCACCAAAGACAGAGAGAGAAAGTGAGAAAGCACTCTCCATAGGGGATGGTCACACAGCAATTCCTTCTCCTCCATTTCTCCCTTCTTTTGGGATTTTTGGCATGCATGCACACACACACACATCCAACTTGTTTTTCAAGTCCTTGGGTCTGTGACTCGAACCTTGCAGTTGGCCATGTGGGATCCACCTGCTTTCACCACCACACTACCAGCTGGCCTTGTGTTTTTAAAATAGATCCATTGTGATCATTTAATTTACCTTCGGGAACAGCAGTTAGCGTAATGGCTATGTTGCTGGACTCCCATGTAGTCGACTGTGGTTCGAGTCCCGGACCTGGTGGTTTAAA